GTAAAGTACGTATAAGCTAATCCAACGATGTCCAAATCAAAAGCAGGAATAAAGTCGACATGTAAAATTTCTACGATACAAATATAAACTACACCCATTTTTTTGACTTGCTCGCCATCTTGGGTTTCATAAGAGTTTTAAGACAATAATAACGAGCGAGTGCACATTAACGTCTAGGTGAATAAAATAATTAATTGGGGTCATTCCATCAGAAGATTTATAATGCAATCTTAAAAAGAGAGTGGTTTTGATCTTTATCTTATAAATATTTTTTTAACTGATAAATATTAGTAAAGTGAGAATTTGAGCTTGAAATTTCGTTCTGATCTTTGGCCTTTCTTGTAGATGGTGGACCAATCCCTTGATAGCCACCACCATACTCACAATATATGGTCGAGGGTTATTTTCATGATCATTTTGATAAATTAAGGGACCAATGAATGACCCTTATCTCTAATCTTGTCTTTTGAAATGTTAAATAATAAATTTAAATAGAATTGAATATTTAAACTTAACGATTTATCCTTAAATTTTAATATTTAAATTTAGTTTATTAAAAATTTTACTCTCATCAATAATTAAAAAAAATATCCATGCTTCAAAATTCTTCCATGTTTAAATAATAATAATAAAATAATAAGTTAAATGAGTTTTTTTAACTTATATTTTTATAATATAAGTTAAAATATATTAAGTATATTTATTTTTTTAAATAAAAAATTTTAAAAGTTAAATTTATTTTTAATATTAATATTATATTCATAATTTTAATTAAATAATTAATAAAATTAAAATTATTTTGAATTTTTTAATTTAAATTAATTAAAAAATATAATAAATCTATAATTATAATATGTATCTTTCTTGCACATATGAGATATTTTCATAAACTAATAGAAATCAAAAGTACGATTTAAGGGGTTAAAATTTTTTTAGTTAAAAAAAAGGACAATGGGAGGCAATCGTCATTGTTGTGAGGAAAAGCAACAAAAAGAAGGGGATAGAGGGAAGGGCAGGCGTTGAGAGTGATGGGTGGAGGGGGTGCACAAGAAATGATGTGGAGGAAACGACACTAATTATCTTAAATAATGTGGGGAGTGGGTTGCGTTAATAGTGAGCATAGAATTCAGAGATTAATTTATTTTATCTCTAGATTTGGTTTTAATATAAATGGGGTAATGTTCAAAAAAAATATATATATATAAATGGGGTAATAAAATGAACACGTACTCATTTGGGCTGCCTTTTCTTCCCTTCGTGGGGCGAAGACTTTGACCCAATCTTTGGAGAAATTTTCCACAAAATAATATCCTCCCACGATATTCTTTCAACTTTTCCATGGTTCCCTTCCATGAAAAAGTTTAAAATACGTCTCTCTTTATTTTTGTGGAAGGCTTGAAATAATATTAGATTTGATATAAACACATTCTATGCTCATGATAAGATTTTTTAATAGTTATGTGTTTAATAATTATTAAATAAATAAATAATATCATTTTATATGATTTATTAAAAAAATCATTTATAATTAATATATGTAGCATTATGAAATTTTACTGTAAAAATATCATTTTTAACACAAATAATAGTCAATCCTCTTTGGATCACAAAGAAACGTGATTCACATTTTAACATATAATACTTACACGCTTTTTTTTTTTGATGGGTGATCGTGTGTCGTGCTTGAGTATCTATGACAATTTCAATGTTCTTGATTCAATGTCAAGCATACCTAACACGTGCAAAATTTCCCATGCATTTCTTTTTTTATAAAATTTTTATAACAAACAAGGACATGTCATTTGGTGACTCTTTTTTTGTCCAAATGTCAATGGTAATTTATATATAAACATATTTTCATATGTCATTGATGACTTAATGAAAGTTTAATCTTTAATAAATTTAAGGGAAACAATATTCAGCTTATTAAGAAAAAAAAAGGATAAGCTTAAATACACTAAAAATATTAATTAATAATGTAATCAATGACTTATTGATTCGAGTGAAAAAAATATAATTCTTCTTAAATAAAATATTAAATTCGAATTTTACGAATAAAAAAACAAGGATCGAGAAAACTTTTTTTTTAATAATATTCGACACAGCTTATTTTTAGATTAGTTGGGATCTGATATGATTGGCGAATATTGAAGAATAATACTGAAAAATTAATTAATAATGCAATGAATATTTCCTTTAAAGTTACAAAGAAGTCCATGTGTCTTAAATTGTTTAATTGATTTGTTAATCAACACTACTAATCAGTTTTAATTAATTAATAAATTAGCCACATAAAATAGGCTTATCAAATCAATTTATTGAAGGGTATAATGTATGTGTCACACTTGTATGCTTATAATTTAAAATTAAAATTTCTTTTACTTGAAAAATTGCCATTAAGTCAAGAAAATCGTTTGCAAGTTAAAAAGTGATCACATTGATTAGAAGATAATTTTTTTTGTTAGCTATCCATCCATAGAGGATGGGCCAAGTTGAAGCGAGATATTGAAATGGGAAATGATTTTGAGATAATTTTTTTGTATTATCTTTTGATATAATTTGATATATCATTTAAATAATAATTATTTTTTATTTATGTGAAACTTGTGATATTAATTTTTTTGTATTATCTTTTGATATAATTTGATATATCATTTAAATAATAATTATTTTTTTATTTATGTGAAACTTGTGATATTGAATATATTTACTCATTTAATAATATGTAAAAATTATATAAAAAAAATTATCCTCGTAACATCATCACCCTATTGAAACATCCTTGCTATGCTTTGATTGGGAAATTCAATTCCACCGTCCTATGTTTTGTGCAACATTAAAAACTATAGGTTAGGCACCGGCTTCGCCTCCCTATATTTTGGTGATGGATCGTCAATGACCTTTTTAATTTATCAGTAGATAATTTAATTAAAGGATGCTTTTGTTTATATATATTTTAGAAAAAGACTGTTGCTTCCTGTTTTGCAACAGCTAGTCCAGAATCAGTTGCTTCTGGGGTAGGCGTATTGCATACAAAATTTTATTATATAATTTGGTCATAAAGATGCCCTTATTTTATGTCCTGATAAAAAGTGTTGGTACAAACAATGAAGTAACCCACTCATTCCTCTCAAAATAATCCATTAGTATATTTTTAAAAATTAATTAAAATTTTTAATTTTTTTAAGGGTAAATATTTTTTTTACATAGTATTTTAAGCATATTATTAAGAAATATTTTCTCCGTTTTAAAATAATTGTTATTTTTGTATTTTAAAATTTTTCTAAATTAATTAATTTTTATTTTAATACTATCATCATCATTTTTACTTTAATTATTATCATATCAAAAAGTTTCTCTTTATCTTTTATTTATTATTTAAAAATAATATATTTAAATTTAAATTTAAAAAATTAAAAATAAAAATTATTTTAAAAAAAAAGGATGTTCCTCTTAAATTTAATTTTCCGCATTATATATATATATATACTTCTTTCCATCTTATCTCGTCTTTCAGGGAACTCCTCTTATACTGTATTATTACTGGTAAAAATATAAATTATTTAAGAATTATTAATTCATGAAAAAGTAAAAAGCTGACTACCACTTTAGCTTTGGGATGAAAAGGAGATTGAAGATTTTCAATCTGAACTTGCAAAGGAGTTTCATTTGAACAGGAAAATTGCCCATTATACCTTTTTTTTTTTTCTTCTTCATTTCCTTTGTATTATATTCATCATTTCCATTTTTTTTTTTTATTTTTAGATTGAAAAAGACTACCCTTAATCATCATCATCATCATCATCATTCAATCATCTCATTAATGAAAAAAAGAAAATAGTAAATCACAAGGTAACTCAATGTATATTTTTTCCCCCCCTCTTATCCATGATTCAATGAATTTTGATTCAACACGGCATTTAGAACTTGAAAAAAAAACCCTAATGTGAATGAACCAATTCCATCACGTTGACATTGTGAGAAAAATAGTAGCATCCACCATCTCACACATCAATTGTCCATCCAAACCAACCAGCACTACTCCAAGACATAACCCTTTGGCTAGTTTTTCATTTATTTTTGGATAATTGCAAACTGTTCTATCCACATGTACGATGTCGGTAAAACATTCACGTGATATTGTAAGGATTCAAATTTATGTTTTCGATATAGTCCACACTATATATTGTCACTTGAACTAACAACAATAGATTTATTTATTTTTAATTTTTGTAGAGAAAAAAATATATAGAAAAACGTGTTGAATTTTTGTTTTTGGACCAATCTCAACCTTTGAATCTAAACGCTTAATCTATGTGACTATGTCTCAATATAATTGAGTTTTGAAAATCAAAGCACATGAAAGAAAGAAAACGAACGTGGAATTGTACAAGAGTTTACCTTAATGGGACTCTGCCCTCTTTTGTCATGTTTTGTGTGTTGGGTGTTATTGCTTGGAATTGTGCCCTTTGCTCTTGGACAAAGGCACACATCACACGGGGGGACCAAACTAGATTCCCTTATAAAAAGCAGTTGCACTACCATTTATATTCATGCCCCATTGTTGAAAACGAAACAATAAAGAAGGCTCTTGACTTTGTGGCCCAAACTTGGAAAAGTTATTGGGGGGTGGGAGGAGAAAAGGAATTCCAATGGGCTTCACATTACTGCTATTCCCCATTGTTTTTCATCTTTCGCTCTCTTTGTTGGGCCCATAACAGTTGCGTTATGACATGAACATTTAACTTTAACCGCTTCTAAGGCTCAAGATTTTTTTTCTTTAAAAAAAAATTTTGAGATTGGACCAATCACTACCAACAACTTGTAAATTCAGTGTTTGTCGAGTGCAGATAGCATTTCTCAAGTAAAATACGTAACTAATTAGTCCATTGCGTCGGACCCAAAGTTCAAACTCTTGCCTTGGCTTGACAGAAATTCTTCTTCCAATGATATGATGCCTGGTGATTGCAAGTTGTTTGGATGGAGTTCCACAGATTTTTTTGATAAAAGAAATTTTGTTTCAAGCATTAAGTGAAGTGATACAGAGCTCATTCTCCTTGAGGCGGGTCCTTGCTAGCCACAGAAACATGGCCCCCCATTCCATCTCTAGATGGGTATGCAAATGGTAGTAGATGTTTCTGTCTTTCCTAATACATACAAAAGAAAAGGAACAGGCATTGCACATTTACTTGGTACTATTACTATACCTACCCATTTCCCTTAGTTTCCTATGTACAACACCAATAGCTTACAACAATGACTCTCCAAAACTCAATTCATTAGGAAAATGAAATAGCACCCTAATGAAAAAAATTAGCCAGTAAGGCCGCCTGTAGATTTTCATGCTAAGAAGTTCAGCACTGTTGTTTCCGAGTTTGGGCTTCTGATGTTCTAAGCTTTGACTGAAAGGTCATCCTGTCCTCTCTTAGATCTTCTGTTCTTTCCTTGCTCATATTCTATCTGTTCGTATTTGTTAAGAGTGCAGTTACCTCATCATCATTGAAGGCTGATGCTGATGCAAGCTGCAAAGCGGTGTGACCTCCAGTATCAACGGCTTGTATATCCGCTCCTCTGAAATGAACGAACTGAGTTTTCTTTCTAGTAACTAATAACTAATGGATGAATTTTCATGAACTGATATCCTACTGATTGTCATTAAGAAATGGCCCATAGAACAGAAGGGAAATAAGAAAATGATGAATCACCTTGAAATTAGCAACTTTGCAGTTGCAGATTTGCCGCTGACAATACAATAATGAAGGGGTGTCTGGCCTCCTGAATCACATGCATTTATGTTTGCACCATACTGAAGGAGTAGCTCTACCATGGCAATGTCAGCAGTTAGGCAGGCAAGATGAAGCAGAGAACAGCTATCAGAACAGTCCATTAAGAGCTGCACTTCACTGTTCTTTGATGAGTTCTCACAACTCGAGGCCTTGTCCAGAGAATCACCTGAAAAGCAATCCAAATATTGATCAGTGCCTTCATTCTTTTTCAAGTTGAAACACTCCAGCTAGAGATAGGGGTGTACAATATGATGCAGGCCCATGGATAGCATTGACATCTGCCCTGGAGCAGACAATATGGTGGTAAACTGCCTTTTTGTCATTTGCTCCGACACTTTCCCACATCTCTTGTGCCACTTTAAGGAGATGCTTGTCTTTTATCTTGCAAACAAAAGCCTTTTCTTCATACTGTATTAAGTAGAAACCATCTATCATGTCAATGTCCACTTAAAAAAGCCTATCTCAATTGAGGATATTACCAAAGACTATTTAAGACTACTCCATACACTCTTCAAGGCCACTCCATAAACCAATCTCATGACAACTCATATAGGCCTTATGGATCATATCACAGGAGATCAAATGATTCTCCTCAGCAGAATAGGCAGAGGGCAGAACGTTCATTTTTGGGTGTACTTCCAAAACACAATTTAATCATCTTCTTTGTCCACTAGCTTGCATGTTATCAGTTTCCTCATCTAGTCTATTAAGTAACAAATGTACATATTTCCAGAACATATTATGTCTATAATCAACGTGGAGATCATGTTTGACAAATGACAGGAAGGATGAGACTAATGCAGCCCACAGTACCCAACTGATTGTTATTTTAAGCAAGTTCAGCTAATAAGATCTAAGTTCTATTTTATGATGATATATGCATGTGTTCAAGTTCAGGGACAGATCAGAATTGTGATCTTTGCAAATTTCTGCACACGAGGTTCATTTATGTACTTTGGTTTAGGTTGTTCTAGGCATCTTTAGGAGCAAGAAAATATATTATTTGAAGGAATACCTTGGCGTGAATGAACAATTCCCTTACTGAAAGAGGATCATTCCGACTGGGTTTCATTGTAAGGAGCTGTTTGTGCTTCTGTGGCTTGGAAGAACTACACAACAAGAACTATAGACCTTTTAGCACGGAAACAGTTTTGCAATCAGGAAAAGCATGTGTCACTTACCCCGCAGCCATATCATTAGTCAAAAAAGTACTTCCTTTGTGCAACAACTCCTCCCAGATGGAGTTTGCATAGGTGTTGCCCAGAGATTGAAACAAAGCTAAGACAGATGGTTCCCATGCCTTCACATCAAGTGTCAGTGATCTTACCTGCATAAATGTACAAAACATATAATGGGAACAAGTGTACAAGCCTTAATCTATTATACTACATGCAACATAGACAGTAATGAGAGCAGCTTCAATATGCCAACAAGAAAAACAAAAACATAACAGGCCTTAAATTGAATGTGGTCAAGAACAAAATAGTCCTCTTCTTTATCTTCCATTTATGAACAAAAGTTTACACGAGGACAGTGTATTATGTAGTTATAAGCACTTGCTCTACTTAAGAAGGTAAGGTTACACAACAACACAATCAAGCATAGATGACATACCTTTGATATATGTACACCAAGATTACGATGAATCCCAGAACATTTAATGCATATAAGGACACCAAGGTTTAAGGATGCCCAGTCTGGTTCTGGTGCACCGCAGTCAGCACATTTATCATTCCCAGGTACCCTTCTCAATACATCAATTGTTTTTTCACTCTTTGTACCAAATCCTTGGTCGTGCAAACTTCTAGAAGTGTTGAAGTGGTTTCCATAGCCAAGATTCTTATGATTGTGTTCTCCGAGTGCTGACTGATAACTGTCAGAAGAATCTAGTAATGAACTGCTATCACTGGCAGAACAATTATCACCAATTCCCTTGGGGCTAGAAGAGACACACTGATATGCACAATTTATGATCATTTACGTGGCTAAAAGAGAAATAAAGAATGAAACAGTACAATGTAAAATAAACATGAATTTTATGTTCTTTTAAGGGAGAAAAATGCCTGATTATGCACTTTTTGTTCCCCCATTTTTCTTTAAAAGAGAATTGATGATTACCCCATCAGTTGTCTGGATACTCAATAATGAAGCAATTACTCCATTTATTTTCTCAATCCAATCCATCTGGTCAAGTGCATTCTCTGCCTGCATGGCCAAATAAACAAAAGAAAGAATCTAGAGCTAAATATTCAAGCATTTCCAAACTTAATAACAAAGAAACATCTCCAACAGGTAACAATGCTAGTGTCAAAAATGAAAGAATGCATTACGTATTCACAGTGAAATTGATGGATACCTGCAATGTGTAGATTTTTGTTGGTGATATAATTCTAAAACAGAATCTTAAATCTGACTGATCTGCATCAACCTTAATTGTTGACGTCAACAAGTTTACAGTGTGGTGTGCAACCGATTTTTCATCATGTGCATTGCCATGGTAATGAGAAGAAAGCCAACGACTTAGGAGCCCAGTGCCATTTTCGTAATTACAACCTCTCTGTTTGGCAGATTGACTCCCAGTTGTCTAAATCAATAGGGCCAACATTTAGTAAGCAGATGGGAAACAAGAATGAGAAAGCATTCCAGCTCAAAACATAAGAAGCTATCATTCTTTCAGTGACTTACAGAAGACCAAGTCAATGGTTTGCGATAGTAATACAGCAGTCCTCGACTATCAAGAACAAAATACCTTCTCTTCCAGTCAGCCCTCAAATTTGACGAACGTTTTGAGAGATATCCTTGCCGAATTGTTTGAACCTGAAAACAGTAGTCTTAGATATAATGATGTAAAAGGCAGTCCTCAAGAAAGTAAGATTATTCAAGAGAAATCAAAGTAAGGTTCTGTAAGTAAACTGGATATGATGTCAGAATATACCTTTCCTTTTGCAGCAGATTGCATAACTGCCTCAATCACTTTCTGTGAACCCCTAGCCATTGGTCGCATGGAAATAGAATCTACTGCTGGGGTACTGAGGGAACCATTTAGGGACAGCCTATTATCTCGATCAATCTGCCTGATATACTCCTGCATTCTTTCATTAAGAGATGCCTGTTTATAGTTGGAACATTCCCTTGACTGTTGAGTGTAAGCCAAGACCTGCAACCCGGCAGTCACTAAATTAAAAAAAGTGAAGTTCTCAAATGGAAGACATAAAATTTTCTAACAACTTTGCACACAACAGAAAACAGAAGAAGATCCACATAGTTAGTAAAGAAAAAAAAATCAAGTATCCCAAGAAAGGCTGGCCTAAATGGAATCTTTTGGAACAATGGAGCAGGAAGCCACAAACTGTTAGAATTCATAGAAAAACAAAGGAGCAAAGGCTTGACACTTTCATCAACTTTGATTAACCAGAAAATTGTTCCTTTTAAAACTTCTCTTGAAGGAAACAATACACACCATAATCCCAAAGATTGATAGGCCTTCGGACTAAATGTCATGCATTTGAAAATTCATGAAATGGATTCAAGCATATTCCCGAACATGATCATGGATTGGATTTGGTTTTCTTCTGCAGTGAATCGGATGGGAACAGGATTTTATTTAGTTGTATATGATCCTTTTTAAGGACGAAACAAATCTGAACATTGCAGGCAGCTAGCTAAGGGTGAAAATTTATTTTAGTGAAAAGGAGTCATGCAGTTTAATCTTTGCAAATTCGTGAGTTGAATAATTAGGAATTAGACTAACTTTTATCAACTTAGCAAGTAAAATTACTAAACAAACCTGGTTAATAAAAGGCTCCATCTCATGCAATAGCTCATATGCCTGCAGGGAACAAAGAATTAAGGGTGAACAGGTTCAATATATTGAAAATATCACATCTTGAGATGACAAATTAGTTTTCATCACAATGAAAATGCTCCATGCCTGCTTGAAGAATTGAAAATGAGCACTTATTGTCCCGCCAACAATCTCCAGAAACTCAAATCTTGTTTTGGCCTCAGAATTAGAGAGAGCACTAACCTAGATATAAACAAATGTTTCTGATTTATAGCCTTCCAGTTGATAAGTTGTGTACTTATATGAATACTCAGTAGTTACTGAAAACTAGTTTACCAGACTGAAGCGGGCCTGCTCAAATGAGGATCTTGCAGAATGCATTTCCTGGAATATCTCTACCAAATTAGATTTTGAAACATAAAGAGGTTTCCATGACAAAATATTTTATCAATCTATATACCAAAATGGAAATATTGGGTTAGAACCATCATAATATTGCAATACCTCTTCAATGGCAGCAGCTACATCAGTCCTAGTGCTTTTCCTTAATGACAGAAACTTCTCTCGTGCCTGTTTCGTAAAAGTGGGCACTGATGTTAACTCTCACCGTGGAGAATATACTAGCTAGAAATTTATATAGCACCAATCCAAGTAGTCCAAAAAGCCATTAGAGAGAATTCTGATACACAAAATAGTTAGAAGGATGTCCAGAATCTTGAATTATACTAATAGTTAGGAACATGCTGTTCCATTTGCTGAGAGGACTCCAACCCTGCACAAGAATCCTTCTCTTGATGTTCCCTGGAACTAGAATCTAGAATCAAATATTGTACAAATCAATATCTGGGCCCTTTTTTCTATTACTTCCTATCTCCTTTCCTTCTGGTTTTTAAGCAGGGATATGTAGATCTGAAAACATGCAGAAAGTGACATGCACAGCAAAAATGTAGAAAATATTGTTCATGTGCATAAACCTATCAAATTAAAGTGTCTACTAATATATGGGTGATATTATCTCTCTCAGACAAATTTGCAATGTTACTCAAAAACACAGATCTATAGATTTTTATAAAGTAAAATCAACATGATAGTAAAGGATTTAAAGGCCATCACTAGTGGATTAGAATTCCATGAAAGAATGAAAATCAAGGAGAAGAGAAAGAGTACTTAAATATTTGGATTTCACACTTACCTGATCGTAGATAAGGGAGGCCTTGTCAAAACGTTTTCGGGCTTCCTAATCCAATCATTTGATGGTGGATGAAAACAAACAAGTTAGTGAGCCAACCACAAGTGATTTAAACCAAATACTAATGAGGGACCTGAGGGCACTCCCAAGAAAGATTTTATCATGATTCTTGTATTCAGTTGTCAACCTTGCATTTAGTAGTTTGCAACTCATTAGATGCAGAACATCTTTTAAATTTATAATCATAAAAAAGTATCTTGAGGGAACTTGATAATAAAACGATACTCCAAATAAGAATGGTTAGAAATAAATATAAACGAGAAAGTCACTGCTCCATGTTCTATATAAATTTTAAACAGCAGTGTATTAAATGTGGTTCAGTAAGGAGAAAGCAGACAGCTGAACTAGAACAAAAAAAACAATGCATGATTATGAGAAGAATTATAACAAAGACCTCTTTCTGAGGGTAGGTGCCCCAATCAGATGAATATTATCTTCTACACAGTAATGTTAGGGGAACCCCTCTTGTGTATGTTGGATAGTAGAAAACATTGAAAACTGTCACAAATAATTAAGGATTCACAAAGGAAGATTTGCAGGTTTTCTTAAATAAGCTTAAGACATTTCAGTGTTTTTTTGCTTCTTGTCTTGAGTAAAACTAGCTAAACCATCAAAGCAACCATCAATTTCTAGTGGTATCATGTGAATAAAGCACTCAGCATTGATGCCGGTGCACCAATCAATAGCATACCAGGCATGAGTAAGGCCAAAAAACGAGAGTGATCTGTGAGACAATAATGGCACAGTGTTCTTACAATGTTGGAAAAATGACTCTAGTCTAAGAAGGGTAAGGAGAAGACTACAAAAATAGGACAGTAGAACCACTTCCTCTATGCTTAGAAAATTGGGTCGATTGAAAGACAATGAGGCAACATGAGGCCTGGTAAACTAAGCAATGACCAAAACTTAGTAGCCCTCATTGAGATTTGCCCTTGACCTTCCAACTGATCTTCAGTAAAAGAAAGAGGAAAGATAGTTCGATAATAAAAAATTTGGTTTATCCCTAGATTTTAGATACTCAAGTCATGAATAAGGTCAAATCAAATTTCAACTTGGGACCAAAATCTTTGTTCTACATGCATATGTATCCTTTATAATATCCCCATGGATAAGAAATGATTAATTGTTAAAGAATACAGGATACCTTGACATCAAGCAGATCAGTATTAACGAACTGCAGCAACCTATCATTTAGCATGGTTTCTACCTGAGAAAGCCAGTTCAAAATGCATAGGTTATCAGTTAACATATTTTACCAAAGATCATAAACTGTTTCAGTAAGAAAATGATGTATTTATAATTTACACCATTATTGGTCATGATGAAACTTCTTCTCAGATTATAAATTTTGATATCAAGTCTTCATATAGACTTTAATTATACTTAAGATTCCTATATTAAGATAACTAAATCTTATATATTCAATTTCATAAAAGAAAATCTTACATATTCAAAGTTCTATATAGAATTAGACAGTTTGTAGCCAATTTCTTACTAAATCAATTTTAGGAATTAAAATTTTTATATAGCACCTTAAATGCAATGCCAAATTTAATGCATTTCATAATAATTTAAGAACAATAATATTGGAAAATTTAAGTCTAGAACAACTTAAGGACTGGGAAATGAATTACAATGACATAAAATATAGAATCAATCAGGTAGAGACAAGAAAAAAATAAAAATAAAAATCTGTTTCTTTTGCATTATCTATTATAAAAAATATATTTGAAGCAGTATCACCATATAAAATGATCCTAAATTACAAGATATCTGGACAAGAAAGATCCATCAGAACAAAGACCTGCTTTTATGCTAAGTTATCATGGTTTATTAGGTGTGGTAAGTGGAAATCTAAAGACCAGCAGAAAATAAGGAAAAAACTCTATATGAAAAAGAATAATTAGCATCAGCAATTCAGCATCACTTTAGCAATGTATGATTTCTAACTTGGTCTAGTCTATTTTTAATACATGGTCACCAGCACAGAAGCGGGGCAGGAGGGTCTATATGCACAACAAGATTTGTTACCTGAGACCGAAGTACTTCCTTATATGTCCCAATTTCTCTCAAGGCAATTGTGAATTTGGTCATGACAGGGCCTGTAAAAAAATTCATAAGTTTAATCAGTAATAATAGCAGTAAACATACATACCTAGTTCTTATACTTTTAGAGTTTGGACCTTACAACTAATTACTGATGGTTTTAAAAAACCCAGTCTTTGAATTGTAGAAGGCAAATGGTTATGGTTTTAGAACTTATAATTGATTATATTCTCAAAAGAAAATAAAAAAAACTTAAGGACATAAGTAAGACATGATATAAATACTAAATTATTGGGGTAAACCACATGGTTGTCCTTATAATTTCACTGAATCTTTTTTAATCATCTAAAGTTTCAATTTGAAAAGTTAATTTCAGAGACAGATCTTGCTTCAACCCGGGTACTTAACCTTAAACTATCTATTCTGTATAACCTACTCATCATTTATACATTTATCAGTATTATAAGACATGTTGGTCTACAAGAAAAAGGCCTTTAGGCCCTTAGGCCCTTTATGTTTCTAAGGCAACAAAGGCAATACCAAATTGAGGGTTTCATGAGAAGGGATTAAAAGTTACTAGGAAACAGAGTAAGATAAGTTCATTTACCCTTCTGCACAAAAGCTTGATAGTTTTAGGTCACAACACAACCAAAAGTATTTTCATAGTAATTCTCGCAGGGTAAAAGGGAAATTAGAATCTGTACCTCCCAAAGCAACGCCAATAGGATCATTATGCCCCCCTCCAAAAGTCTCAAGTGCATTTACAAAGGCAATGTCACCATCATACACTTCCCCAAGCCCTTCTCTGATAATAAAATGTAGATAACTCTGTTAGAACATTCAATAAGGCCTATGAGAAAACTAATGTTAGTCTGCTCAGGATAATGGTGAAGAACTAAGATGTGAATTTTCATATTTAAATGTTTTTGAAGTTACCACTTATTGTACAAGTACAAAAACACCAAATGGCTCACACCTACAAGGGTAAACCCTCTAATACCATTATGAATTTATGATTGGGACCCAAACATGGAAACACCACTAGACTAGAAGCTTTTCAAGCCTTAATCCATGTGTCCCCTAAAAGTTTAAGCTCAAGTTGTTCCATATTGGTGGCTTGCTGTCATACACTAATCACAATTTCCATATCTATCAAATGAATGATGAGGTATCAGACAGACAGTCTTCTGTTACACTCTACACAATACTGGGCCATTATAAGGAGGATTGTAGCAGTTTTGCTTACTAAAGTAATTTAAGCAATTCAGGTTCTCAAAAGTAGCTTCCTCTTTTTTCTTGAGTTTATAATGTTGCATTACTTTTACTTGTGATTGATTGTTTATTAAACAAAAGTTGGGTTGTCCTGATAGTTATCCTATATGCAACTTCAAAAGAGAAGCTGTAGATTGTTAGGCAGGTAACAGGTAATGGATTTAAGTTTCTCTGTTACTTGAACCTTTTCAGTGGATGCATACCAGAAGAATGCAAGAAAGAAGATTGCTTGTTTAGAAGATCAACAACTCATCCCTCTGTGTTGTAGAAGAGTGAAATTAGACTAATTACACATTCAACAGCTTAATGGTATAGCAAAATTGATGCCATGATTTAACGAGAATATCTGATGAATTGGTGATAGATATTCTCTTTAAAAGACAAACATGGAATTGAGATAAAGAATTAGACCTACGTGTACTTTCGACATCCTTTGTAAAACTTTAGACATCTTCCCCTCAATGATTCAGCATTTTCTTCCAAGCACTGTATCTGTTTCACAAAATAGTATGTGAATCACTTACAACATCTAAGGAAAACTGAATCCACACGTACACAACTAACTTCATGTGACAATTAATTTAAAATTTAAAATAAGAAACATATTTTGATTCTAAGCTGTAGCAGTAGATCAACTAACACAAAAGCCTTACACAATATATATATATATATATATGAGAATAGTACCTATATATATGAGAATAGTACCTATCTGCTTTATCTTCTAAAGATTAGGAGGAAAATTACTCTAAAATTATATTGTTTTAATAAAGCACCATGAGAAAGAACAAAAAAGCACTCTAATTCATGTGACAGTGTCCAACATCTTGAAATGAATATGATCCAAACAAGGAGAGGTTGTAGAAAAATTTCAGATCCCATGACCATTTGGCAAATTTTTAATAAGATAACTTTGCAACAACCACTTTCATGCTGCAAATGAAAAACACTTTGCCACTCTCCTAATGAAGCAGCAATAATGCATATTACTGTTCACATGAAGGAAAACCCATCCACTTTTCATCTTCAAACATCTGAGAATGATATTTCCTTTTCAAAGGGAATATTTTGGGAGGGTAGCAACCTGGGTAATTGAACCCGGGTACTATTACCGGCAGGTGACCAGCACGACATGGCTGGCATCTCAAAATGAATAAAAAAGGTTTATACTCACCCAAATGTTCCATGATCCACGTCCCAATTCCCCCACCATCACAACGCACAAGGGAACATAGCTACCGGCATGTTTGTGGGGTAAATAATGCACGGAATTGGCATTGAAATGAGCAATTCTTGCTTTCAAGAACGCTAATATCAACACGAACAGTCTTATACCCAAAAAGACAGACATTTTTTTTTCCTTGAAATACAAATGAAGCTACATTTTCCGTCTTTTTCGCTGAATTATAGCTAAATGAACATATCAATCACCATAAATTCATCAATTTCGGCTGCAACACATCAAGAGTAGACGAAAAAGGTAAAGCATTTTGAAATTCGGAAAGAAAAAAGAAAAAAAAAAGTAGAACCTGCCGCCAAAAAAAAAAAAAAAAAAAGTAGAACCTGCCGCCGGAACATCGGCGAATCGTCGAGTAAAGCGAACTGCATTGCCGTGGAAGCCAGTTATTCTCGTCCTTCTTCTTCTTCGTTTTCGCAGCGGAATGATTTCAAAGCTTTAGCCTTTTGAGAAAGGGAAGAAAGGGGCGTAATTGAAGCATGATTTTCGAAAAGGGTCTCGCTTCGCTTTGTTAAAAACTTTCCCTGCGAACTTTCATGGCTGTCACCAAATAAAAAAAGGAAAATAAAAAAATAAAAACCTCCATATCCTACCCGCCTTTTTTCTCTCTAGATAAACCCCCGTTCCTTGCTTCGCTTTTTCTCTCTCTAGATTCTTCAACGACCTAAAAGGTGGTTTTCATTTTTAGGTATCAAAAAGTATACTCTGCTCCGACGGAATAGGAGCTTCAAACAAGATGAAGAGAGAAAAAAGGGGTTGCCTTTTCTCTTCTTCTCCGCTCCATATCCCCTATTTACAAGAGAGTTCGGAGTTTCTGGTAATGGGTTTTGCGGTTGAAGAATGACAAGAGGGGTGAGTATGGTAGTGTTGCTTCCATTTCTTGTTCCTTCTTTTTTGTTTGGTTTGGTTTGGTTTGAAAATGGTTACTGAACCTTGACATTCCTGTCGTATCATATGAGAAGTTAACCTATTCAATTTTCCTATTTGCTGAATCACTTTCATGCTTCATGGCTGTCGTAATTCCAAAATATTTGGCATTTTCCAAATAGCTGTTGGTCGTTTTGTAATTGTATTCGTATTTTAGGAATTATTTACTCAGAAGTTGGCTTTGGAACATCATTTGCCTTTCTTCAATGGAGGATCGTTGATCAAGTTTTTCAACATTTGTGATGGGCTGAAGTAGCTCTTAACAAAGATTCTATATTATACTAATCTCAAGTCCTTGCCTGATTCTCGTTTTTGTTCATTTGAACGGAGGGGATTCACGTCAGAATCAGTAAGCTGATCATGTTATCACATCATGTATTCTTATGATATTTGATGTAGCAGAAGCAATAACTTGTTGGCACCATAGGTTGACTCAAGCATATGCATTAAGTATAAATGTCTTCGTGCATGTTAATAACTATGTCTATTCGTTGCTTCTTTTGAATTTCCTTGGATGCTTTTTCTTAAATTGTTTAGTTCCTTATTACCCTGCTTCTACTAGCTATATGGTCCGTGAACTGAGTGTGAGAAAACATTCCCTTCTACAGTTTCACTTACAAAAAGGATTGCTTGGTGAATTGCCAAAATGCCCTAGTATTAGTTATTGAACCTTTAACATGGAATGGAACAAAATATAGTTTTAGGCAAACTGAAACCTGTACAAATAAAACCTTTTCCTTCTTCGTTAGAGGCCTCCTTAAGCAGAAGCTATTGAATTCCCCTTCTTCTAGTTCTTCCATGCTTATACAAATGTCTATTTTATTTCATTTTTCCTTTCAGACTTTGTAATTGACAAATTGTTGAAGTTTTGGAGATAATGCTTGGAGTGATGATGAATCAAAACAGAATGAAGGTTCTTCCAGATAACTGTGCTGCTGAAATTATGATGCTGACAAAGGAATACCATGGAATGAGAGAGAAGTTACCCAAAGCTTGGCACTTATTTCCAGGACTGGATGATCAAGAGTGCATGATATTGGTTCGTTCTTTATTGTTTGCAACATGCTGCTCTTGGTTATTGCCTATTGGTATTGAATTCAGATTTTGAAATCAGTGCTGCTGGGTTCTGCAGTTCATTATGACGTCATTCCTACTGTGAATTTTTCATTTCAGATCTTGCTGTGAGCAGCTTGCCACCTGTTTGGAGCATATAAAAATGAGTTTCTGCTGAAACTTCATACTGCAGCGTTTAAATTTTCTAAGCAAAGAAAAATTTTGGAAGATGGTTCAGTCAGGTATATCCTGACATCATCTCCTCAAATCCATTATCTAGTGAAGATTGTGGAGATTGTGTGTCAGCAGAGCTTCCTGCAGTTTATGGAACGGTAGATATTTGAAAGCCAATCCATTCATTTTCAGTGAAGTTAACCACCCAGATGATTTAACTTACCTTCAATCAACCAGATTGGGTGAAAATACTGTTTGTTCCTCAGTGGCTTTGGTTTCTATCCAGCCTGATAATGTATACAACTTTTTGTAAAATGGAAAAGTGGAGCTTTTCTAGGAAAGGAAATCCTTGATACTAATTATAAATGAAAGAAGGTTCTTGCTTATTGTTGATATATACCTGAATTAGCTGGGGGACACTATTGTTGGCCGAGCTGAGATTTTGGTATCACAGAGTCCCAAAGTGAGCTTCAGTGGAAAGTTTCTGATGCCTAAATAGTTTTATTTCCCAGCAATGTTGGTGCACACAATTCCAAGCTTTGGAAACAATTAATCATTTATTATCTTTGCAAAAAACAGAGTTGGGAATGAATACAGCCTCTAGCAAGGGAGAATCTGGTTAGACAAGGTCTGATGCTAAGCAGTTCACTAATTACCTTAACAAAGATATCATTCATCACTGCCTAGTTTGATAAGCACAGTCTCACAGACATGATGAGGTGATTTTCATTCCTTCATTGTATTTGTGATTTTTGACTTTGCATGCCTTGAACGGTGGAGCTACATTCATATAATCTTGTTTCTGGCATAGGAGATGCAAAGGAGAACTCTCTTTTAAAAAATGAAAGTACTGTCTAAGCAAACTGTCTTTTTTCTTTTTCCTTAGTTTTGAAAAATGAGCATAAGAGAAGACAAGACATGCTCAGAAGACCGTATTCTTGTCGGCACTATTTAACTAGTGGTTGAAGAAGGGTATGTAATACTTCAAAAGCATAATACATCTTGTTTGACCTATGTGGGATCTTCTTTGTGAAGATTTCTGAATCAAAGAAATCAAATATAAGTTGATAAGGATGGTGGATTACATATAAAGAACAAATGAGTGATAAGACCATCTTATTTCAGACAATTATTGACTGGAGAGGTATATGGAATCTTTTAAATTATACCGAATCCCCACATCGTACAGGTGAGGGGGAAGGGTATAGTTTACAAGGTGTGAACCTTCCTTCAATAGGAGGATGTATGGAATATTTTGTTTGTCTCTAAGCAAAGGAAGTTAGACAAGTGGTTTGAATTTGATAATGTGGCATTTTACATTCTAGGGATGACAACCTTGATGCTCATTAAGATTTATGCGAAGGAATAATGGTTACCAAGATTACAAAACCGACAGTACTACCACAGTAGCTGACAAAACCCAACTCAGACCGTGTGAAAACTCCTAAAAAGGAAGTGAGATTTTGGAACTCTGCATTTTGTGCTCTGTGCAGATGTGCTTTGAATGTCCTTCACTCTCTCTGTGTGTGAATGTTTGTTTAAGTCTAGGCTTTATAAAGCCAACCCACATGGTTTCCATATTCACGAAAGAAAGTAAGAAAACTCTTATGCAATTCTAGTAATGGAGCTGATCTTGCTACTTTGGGTTGCCTTTTTTGCTTTACAGACAACTTGTTCTTCTCTTCAAATTCAAGTGCAGTCCTTGCATCAAGAAGGTAGATAAATACCTAGAGGATTCTATTTTTGTTCTTCTCTCAAGATAATTGCAGCATTGCCTAATGATTTATTTTGCATTATGTGCAGCATATGAAGTCCAGCAGCTTTCTCTTCCAACACTGCCTAGGAAACTCATTGGAATCACTGAGGAAATGAGTGTAAGAGCCTCTCTTTATGAACGGATTATATATATATATATGACTTTTTATTGCTATTTTAATTCTTAGACTCATATATTATACGTCTTCTGATCTGCAAACAGTTAAAGGAAAATGGAGCACAGAATGGATTACCAAACAATCAGCAGTCAGTTGGAGATGATACTTCAGGTACCCGCCAATCTATCTACAAATACATGTCAAAAGTACTACAGATGAAATTCTAGTCCAACCATGAACATCATGAATAACCAGGTTCTGTAGTCATGTTGTTAAAAGGCTAGCATGCATCTTAGTTTTCAAGGACCATCTCACCTAAGGTTTAAGTCATCATGTAAGGATTCAAGATTAGCATTAATCTATAGTAACAGTAATGAAACTCAAGTTAAAGGCAGAAAAAAATGAAAAAGAAGAAGGAAATCTAAGGATGTTTTGAACTTTAGATCTGCTTAAAGGTAATTCTTTTTTCTTTAAAATCACCTAGAGAAGCACTGGACATAACAGGTTACCTATCTTGAGTGATCGCACTTTGGACTTTGCTTAAAAAGAGAACTTTGTATTTAATATGGGATTAATGACCGTAATCTAGTAACAAAGTTTCCTCTTGTAATGGGTTGAGTACCCTTGTACTCCCTTTAATGAAAGTTAATTTGTTGGTTGATAAAAAAAAAAAGGTCTTTTTTCTTTTAATAATACATAAACTTAGCGTGGGTTGTTGATCTTCCTAGCTGGGTTGCCCACAATGGCAAATGATTATTAATTGTTACTTTATTGCCTTAAAAATGGGAGGAGTGTTCCTTATTAACAATAACGTGCTGAGAAGTACAGTAAGTGTTGTTGCATGCTAAGCACCAATATTGTTGATTGTTTTGAATTATTTAGTTAATTAATGTGACATGGAGCAGGTAAGGGGAACAGATACCAGAAAGAGCAAGCTGCAAAGCATGGGAAAGGAGAGACATGGCAAGAATGGGCGAAGGGAACTGACCCCTCTCAGTTTTTTACAATGGATTATACACAAGTAAGAGGACAACGACCCATACATAACAAGTCCCCGCCTGTTTCTCCATGAAACCTTGGACGGAGGTGTTTCCAAATACACAACAAACTTTTGTGGTTGGCTGCTATTTTGTCCAAAAGCAGCAGTACTTTGCATGAATGTAACCATGGTAGGGAAACGAGGAACTTGTCTCGTTTTATTTCTGATATGGCCGACATGGAGGAGCAGAATTCCAGTTTGTTTGTTTGTTTGTGTGTTTGTATTTTTTTCTGTTCCTTTTTTTAAGCGCTTGTAATTTACTAGTCAAATGGGGTTTGCTAACCCCAATATATTGGTATTTGCTATCATATGCTCCCTGTTTTGTAAAGTTCGGCCATTTTTTGATTACCATCTTAAGCACTTTTATATATCCTTGTTTTAATCTATTTTACTTCTGTTTCGTTTCAGTATGTTCTGCTGATGGTATAAAAATTGGCCAAACTTTTATGTTCTGCTGATGATTAAGTTAATTATCTGCTGAAAGCATATAAAATTACTAAGAAGATTTTGCCTTTATTATTATTATTATTAAAATATTCTCATATTAGCTTTCAAATATCTTGAGATTAATCACCCTTGCTGATCTTAAAAATGCATCTTTTCTTGAAGTTCTAACCTCAAATCTTGAATTCTAAACCTAATTTACAATATAATATTTACTTACTAATACATCGAACCTAAAGTCGGAAAATTTTGCCTTTTTGTTGAACTTTGCGATTTCTTTTCTTCTTTGAAGACGTGAGATAGTTGTCTGACAGATGCCCAACTGTAATTGCTTACCAGCGATTGACTTAACCAAACTAATTTAATAACAATACTATCAAGAATAATAATACATGAATAATAAATCATACATATTGTAAAGTTATATATTTTATTATACACTAATGAAAACTGTCAATTTAATAATATAAATAACAGATTAACGGTACGAGCAACAAAAATCGTAAGTAAAACTACACAAATAGTAAAAATGATCAATTTTAATAGCATAAATAATGAAAACCACCAATATATAACGAAATATGTAACTCTACAAGGTAGACATAACAATTTCCCTACCAACAACCGTTGATTACTGTAAGTCTGTAAGCATGCGATAACCAAGAAAATTGGTCTCCTGGAATAAAAACATTGATTATGAATTTCACTAGGAGCAGCAGCATGGAATCACAATCACCTAACCACAACATTTCCAAATGCAATCAAAGTACAGTTGTAACAAAAGAAAAGCTCCCGAGACAAGAACCTATAATAAAATGAATTAAGTTCAATTGACAATGTTTTGCTCCAACGAGCTAATTGCAAAATTTGAAGAAGCTCAAAATTTTGACGAACGTTTAAAAAAGAGAAAAGGGTTAAATACAGTTTGAGAAATTCTTCGGCCATTAAATCTAGAGTGAAAGCCAATGCATCTAAGAACCTCAAGTAAGAATTTTATCAAATAAAATTGCACTTTTGTCTTTCTGTTAACTGTAAACAATGTTTTTGACTGAAGCTCAACGCCAAAACCTACTTATGAAGCCCTTCTTATCCTTCTTCATCCTGTTCTCTAGAGATGGGAAATCAATAAAATCATGTGCAAGGTCCATAATAATGGGATTGCGAGGTATTGATTTGAAGGGTGGAGGGAAGGCTTCAATGCGTGGAGCAGCACCCCTTGCATTAGAATCTCCAACTGCAGACTCATAGACATCAAGTTTCTCAAGAAGGTACTGTTCCACCTGAAAATTTCAAGTCAGCATGTCAAACCAATGGATGATTAGGGGATCCAGAGGCATTACATTCTTCCACAAAATAAACTGAATGTTAATAACAGACTCTTTCTTTTGGAAGAAAAAGTAAAGTATATGTGTACTAGTGAGTCTTAAATGCATACCAGAGTATACTGCTTAACGCATAAGAAATGAAGTTTTCAATTTATTAAAAATTGGATGGCTGGACTGGAACAGATCGGTACCTTCTTGTCAGCTCCACTTAATGATATAGTGGACATCTTCTTAGAGAGATTCTCAGGGGCCTTCGCCTCTTCAAGAATTCCAGTTGCATGCTCTATGCAGCTGTTAGATCTACATTCATTGTACAACGTCTTCAACTCGTTTACCATCGTCTGTCAAAGGGAAGATTACAAATCAATACAAACTCATTCTGCATAGATTGCATTTATGAACCCAAAATTAACAAGACTTGGTAACAAAATATGCTAGTCTTCCACACAACAAAAGGATCTGAAAAAAGGAACCCAGAAATAGGTTTTTGCTAGGTTTTTGCTGTATGAAAGAGTCCATTTAATTGGATAAATTGCTGTCTGTAGTGGCCATGCATTCAGCAACAAGAATTACACAGAGAAAAGTTAATGCACTGAGAATTACTGCCAAGAGTATTGGGGAAGAAAGCAATAAACAAGTAGACACCTTATCACTGTCATTACGACTTTGAAGCTTCTGTAGGGCATTCTCAGTTAAAGAGCGAGCACGGCAGTATAGTGCATAAGCTTCTGTTCTCTTTCCAGCTAAACTGTATGATGTTGCCAAGTAGAAGCATCTGCAAAGACATTCATTTGCATATATTAATTTGCGTAAGGGGTCATTCCATAATTTCGAAAATCAGTTATAGAAGGCACATATCACTTGTAAATAGCTCAAGAGCATTGTCGAAAAAGTCTAGATGGTGAATACTTTAGATGATATTTATACTACGTGATATCATACATTGAAGAGGTGAAGGAAGTGGCTGGCATAAAAAAAAAAAAAAAAAGAAGAAACAAAGGAAGTGAATAACTTAAAAATAAATAACAAACATAACTCAAATATTAACTTAAATGTTGAGGATGCCAATTATGATCCATCCTAAGTAGGTCCCTCTAAAAGGTGTCAATAATGAATGTATATTGCTTGAAGCCATGCAGCCCTTAGAGTTTAG